TCCAGCTCTGAGATCCCGGCTGGCTGAAAGCTGATTTCTGGGGTTTTGTTTAGCTTCTATATTTGTTACAAAGTTTCTTAGAGTTGCAGCTCAGAGGCCGGCAAGTCAGGTGGGGAACGTTGGAGTCTGCAGTCACTGGAGCAGGCAAGCCTCATGTTCGCTTCCAGCTGCCTGGCTGCCGGCCGCCATCTTGGCTGACAGTTAATTTGCATAAGGATATGCTGATTAGCCAATGGGAAGGGTAGCGGTCGTACGCTAATTACCATGTTTCTCTTTTATTACTTAATTTTTAGATGTACTTAAATTTATATATTTTAGGTGGCCTGCCTGATTCGAGTTCCTTCTGAAGTAGTTAAGCAGAGGGCACAGGTTTCTGCTTCTTCAAGAACATTTCAGATTTTCTCTAACATCTTATATCAAGAGGTGAGATATGTCTTTAAGTTCTTTTTCTTCTTTATTGAGAGAGATTTTATAGCAGCTAGTATGAGCACTGTGAGTCTTGTATCAGGAGTCCTAGAAGAGACCTTACAGCTAAATTTAATGTTCAATTGCAGTAACTTTCTATGCTAAGATTATAGTTTTCTTTCCTGTATTTGTTTTTGAATTTTCTTTTTTAATTTCTAAACAAACACATATTGAGTTCCCCTACTGTATGAGTCCTACATTGTAATCATCCATAGTTCTTTTGGAATCAGACATGGAATAAATAGTAAATATGTAGACTAAATGAAGATATATGGAAACATCACCACAGAATTTGAGGGCTCATGGAAGAGAAGTGTAGTAATGGACTGTCACCAACATCATAGTGTTTATATCAACTGTAATCCCCTTTTACTGGTTAGTGTTAAGCTGTGTGTCAGAAGTCATCCTGCTGGCCATGCGACTAGGAGCCGTTGAGCTGCTTTCCTTCATAGTTCCTACAGAGGCCTTTAAAAATGTTAACTTAAAAAATATTTTTACCAATGTCAATCACATGGAAATTTCAATGAGTCTAGGTTGTAGAAAAATTATTCCTAATGGTCCGTGTGTCTCCTCGAGGAGATGCGAGTGTTTAATTGTATGAGTGAGTTAGCCCAGTAGAGGGTTCCTGAAGAACCATGTGGATGTGAAACAGATAAGCGAAGGCTTGTCCAGAGTTACACCATTGAGAGGTTATTAATGAACTTCTGATGTCTTCTGATTGAAACCATGAAATATATTCTGTTTTCATATGAAAAGATAATCAACATTCTATGTGCATTTGCTTTTGGAAATCTATTCATTTAAAGCTCAAGTATTCTCAGGAGAAGAAATGCTAAAAGCAACTAAAGCTAAATTAATATGTAGTCAGTTTTATTATTAGAGATATTTCCATTTTAAAGGAGTGGAGCAGTTAGAACCTTTAACTTCTTGCAGAACTGTGGTCATTGTGGACGTTTTAAAATGCAAACTTTAGGAAAGCTTACTGTGCTTTATTCAGAATGTCGTCCTAAAATTTCTGCCATCTCGTATTTCCTTTTGTTTGTTTCAGGGCATCCCAGGATTGTATCGAGGCTACAAAAGCACAGTTTTAAGAGAGGTAACTAACTTAATTTTCAGTATCGAAGTACAGAAAAACAATATGCTTTGTTCTGTGGGTTTACTTGGAGAAACTGGTTTAAAAAGTTAAAAAGGGAAATTAAGATATCGTATTTTTTATTTAAATATAGATTTTTATTGATTTCAGCGAGAAAGGGAGAGGGAGCGAGAGATAGAAACATCAATGATGAGAGAGAATCATTGGTTGGCTGCTTTCTGCACACCCCCTACTGGGGATCAAGCCTGCAACCCGGGCATGTGCCCTTGACTGGAATTGGACCCGGACCCTTCAGTCCTCAGGCCGACACTCTATCCACTGAACCAAACCAGCTAGGGCTAAGATCTCTTTTTAAAACACTCTTTAGTCTTGTCTTGGTTCTTACATGTAACAAATAGGTCAAATGAATTGGTTTGCTGAACAACCACCCTATAGCTTCATGGTAATTCTAGAGTGGTAAGTATTTGTTGTAGCTGAAATATTAGGAAATAACTACGCAAGGTAAGATATTAAGTTAATACACAGAATTTGTGAGAAATTGGTCAGGAAAGTTGCACCCTGAGATAAGTGTCTTAGAAGTCTGTATCATACAGTTAGTTCTTATTTTCCTGGTAACAATCTGATGAGCTGGGAAGTGTACTCTGGCCTGGAGTCCTGGCCCACAAGCCGTTTTATCCCCTGTGCCTTCTAACTCTAAAGTCCCATGATTCAATGTGGTCGATTTCTTGTACCCCCCCCACCCCCCTGTTGTTTTTGTTTTGTTTTTAAAGCAGAGTGATTTCAGTATATTACTGCTGGAAGCATGTTTTAATTTTTGCCTCATATAAAAGGCTGTTTGAAGTTTAAAAGTTGATTTACAGATATGTGAGATAAAAGTCTTTGGTTTGGGACATAATTTTATTTTCTTTTTAAATGATCTTAAATTCTATGGTTTCCCCTCAGTTTTATTGAGATAGAATTGACAAATAGAATTGTAAGGCATTTAAAGTGTACAACATAATGATTTGATATTTGTATAACTATGAAAAGGATTGGGACATAATTTCCATGAAGGAAAACACAGAAGAGTATCTGCCTATATCTGCTCTGTATTCTTGTTTTCTATTTGGTGTTCCTTAGATGCTACAACACTTTCACCTCTGAAATTGTTTTTAATTTAAGTAAATATTGTCATCATCAGCAGAACACTGAAATTCCTTCAAATCCCTAAGTTCATTCCCAGGTAGGGTTTTTTTGTTTTTGTTTTTGGTTCTTTTTTTTTTTTTTAATACTATAGATAGCGATTTTCAACCTTTTTCATCTCATGGCACACATAAACTAATTACTAAAATTCTGCAGCACACCAAAAATATATTTTTTGCCAATCAGACAAAAAACAAAAGAAAACACACAGGTATAATTTTGATTCATTCACCAGACAGCTATTGTTGTGTTGGCTGTTGTCATTTTTAAATTTGATAATCTAAAGGAAAAGAGGTCAGTGCCCCTGACTAAACAGTCAGGTACTGCATGTTTTAAAAATTCTCGCGGCACACAGGTTAAAAATCGCTGCTATAGATTAGTCTTCTTTGTGAAACACCTGTACTGTTATTTAAAGCTTTGGTGTAGGTGATGTTTATCTTTGAAAAACTTCTTTTGAAGGCAAACTGAATGTTTCAAAATTAGTCATTTGTGTGAAGGTGACTTCTTTCTGCCTTTCAAAAATATCCCCTGCACCATGTCTTCATTCTGTTCTTAGGCTCTGACTTAGTAAACATGAGCTAGTTACTCAGGTTCCGCCCGGGTACAGGGGAAAGGCGGGGCAGGACTTTTTTATTTTTCTGAGAGGTGCTGAATATATAAATATATTTACATGCCAGAGAATACTGATTTCATATTCAAACAAATAGCTAGAACACATGGTTACAACTGCATTCTGTTCTTTTAAAGATTTGTTTTGACATATGCCACACTAGTAATTAATTTCTAAGCTGCAATTCTTGCAAATAATGTGACCTATTGAGATAACTCTGTTTACTCAAATGGCAGTGGCTTTGTTGGAAATGTAATTGGGGTCTTTGCATTATGCGTATTCATGAAAGAGCCTTCAGAACTGATTTTAGGTGAAGCATCGCTTTAGAACAGAGTCCCTGATAGAACTAGAGAAGAATTATTATTGAATGAAACGTAGCTTCTTTTCAAAATGAGAAAAATAAGTGACACCTGAATTAAGCAAAATTTATGCATTATAGATAATTTCAATTCTTACATTGTTCTGACATCAATATCATATCTTTTTGCCAAGAATGTGGTTGATTGTTTCAGTAAGAAAATACATTGAAGCCTTAGTGAGAATCACCAAGAAACTTACACATTTATTCTGTGTACAATTTTCCTTTAGAATAGTTTTATCTCCCTAGTGGTAGCCCATTAGAAGGAGATTGAAGATTGAACCTATGCATTATAAAATAGATTGTGTGTTCTTTAGATTTTGTGAATGCTGTCACCTGTTGCTTTTTTTTTGTTTTGTTTGTTTTGTTTTTTTACTACATTTGATGTTTGTGGAGATTGCTGGCTTATCCTTTATGTTCTCCTAAATTATTTTAGTTACTGTGAATTTTAGACTGAGTCTGAGCAAGGTCAACAAATTATGCTACTTACCTCACCCTTTCAGTGTTTGTTTTCCTCATGATCTTGGCCAAATTAGCTGTGGCCAGGCATCATGGTGCCTGGTGGCATGGCTGTACGATAGAAGTGGGAGCAAATCTCATCTGCCTTCACAGCCAGGCTGAGGTCCCAGGGCCCACTCACTGCCTGAGAGTGCTGTGGAGAGATGCCTCAGGGTCTTGCATGTGGATTAGAAGGACTTGAAAGAGGAAGGAAGCAGAGAAATGCAAGTTGCTTCAAAATAAGTAGGAATAGCCCTAGCCAGTTTGGCTCAGTGGAGAGAGCGTCAGCCTGCAGACTGAAGGGTCCCAGGTTCGATTCCAGTTAAGGGCACATTACCTCAGTTGTCAGCTCAATCCCTGGCGTTGGTCAGGGTGTGTGCGGGAGGCAACCAATGAGTGTGTCTCTCACATTGATGTTTCTCTCTGTCTCTCCCCCTCCCTTTCACTCTCTAAAAATCAATGGAAAAATCCTCAGATGAGGATTATAAAAAAAAAAGAAAAGAAGTAGGAATAAATTAAACTCAGCAAATGTGTTTTATCCACTGTTCTATTTAACAGTCATTAAAAAGTGTATTCTGTGTGTTGGGCACCACATAGAAGGATTTGTGTTCTGATGGAGAAATAATTAGGGCAATGGACAGGGTACAGCGCAGTGTGATAGTGCCGCAGTGGTGTGTATACAGCAGACACAGGACCGTGTTCTGATGGGGAAATAATTAGGGCAACGGACAGGGTACAGTGCAGTGTGATAGTGCTGCAGTGGTGTGTATACAGCAGACACAGGACAGGGTCTGGTGCAGTGTGGTAGTACCACAGTGGTGTGTATACAGCAGACACAGGACAGGATATGGTGCAGTGTGATAGGGCCGCAGTGGTGTGTATACAGCAGACACAGGACAGGATATGTATGGTACAGTGTGGTAGTGCTGCAGTGGTGTGTATACACCAGACACAGGACAGGGTCTGGTGCAGTGTGATAGTGCCGCAGTGGTGTGTATACACCAGACACAGGACAGGGTCTGGTGCAGTGTGATAGTGCCGCAGTGGTGTGTATACACCAGACACAGGACACGGTATGGTGCAATAGTGCTACAGTGGTATGTATACACCAGACATAGGACAGGGTATGGTGCAGTGTAATAGTGCCGCAGTGGTGTGTATACAGCAGACACAGGACAGGGTCTGGTGCAGTGTGATAGTGCCACAGTGGTGTGTATGCACCAGACACAGGACACGGTATGGTGCAATAGTGCCACAGTGGTGTGTATACACCAGACACAGGACAGGGTCTGGTGCAGTGTGATAGTGCCACAGTGGTGTGTATGCACCAGACACAGGACACGGTATGGTGCAATAGTGCCACAGTGGTGTGTATACACCAGACACAGGACAGGGTCTGGTGCAGTGTGATAGTGCCACAGTGGTGTGTATGCACCAGACACAGGACACGGTATGGTGCAATAGTGCCACAGTGGTGTGTATACACCAGACACAGGACAGGGTCTGGTGCAGTGTGGTAGGGCCGCAGTGGTGTGTATACAGCAGACACAGGACAGGGTCCGGTGCAGTGTGGTAGTGCCGCAGTGGTATGTATACACGTAATGGTGTGTATATACAACATGTACCTGGGGTTCTAGAAGAAGCAGTGCTCGAGTGGCATCAATTCGTATTTGTTGTGTTAATAAAAAATAATTTTGACTTAATTCTTGAAGGAGTTGCAATTAGAACTAGGCAAGGAGACTGGCCAATGTAACAACATGAGCAGAGGCACAAGGCTGTGAGAAAACGCCCGTGCCTGCTTATCTGCGCAGAATTGGGGTTTTCACCTACAGAAAGGCAAGAGCCTTTCCCTCTACCTGCAGCCTCGTGAGGGCGCTTCAGGAAGGCACAGAATCAAGTGGGTGCTGGCTGGGAGGAGAGGCTGATGTCTCCACAGCTGAATGTTTGCCAGGGGACTGGAGTGGAGCCCTGGGGAGCCCCTGGAGGAGCCTGACATGTGTCCCCGGGAGCGTGGAGGGAAAATTACTGGGCTTTGACCCTGCTCTGCACTAATCTGACAGTGAGAGGCTGGTTGCAGCCGCCTCATGGCAGGAGGTTGCTGTTTTGGAACGAATAACTCCTGGCTTCTTGGTAGGTAAGAGTGGCCACTGAAGGGATTTGAGGTAGATGAGGGTTGTCGCCCCCTCTCCCCAGATTTCTTGCCAGGCTTCAGTGAAAGTGAGTCTCCTCCAAATTCTGTTACACATCTGATCCTACCCGTCTCAAAGTCAGACCGTCTGGCAGGCCCCGTCTGCCACCAGTCGGTACGTTCATCGAGGCCTCCTGCCTGTCTCTTTCACCCATGAGGTATTTATT